AGGATGATGTGTGCAGCCCAGGTGGACACAGTGGTTAAGAGCTTGGCTGTTAACCAAAAGATCAGCAGTTCGAATCCACCCGCTGCTTGGTGGAGAGAAGATGTGGCAGTCTGCTTCCGTGAACACTTACAGCCTAGGAAACCTTCTGGGGTGGTTCTGTCCTATAGGGTGGCTGCTGGGTGATGGTGCTGACAAGGTGGGACCATGCCCACCAACACCAGAGATCTTTGGAGAGATCTTTGGAGCCTGTAACCCCAGGCCAGTACTGAAGCTCTTTCTGCCTCGGTTTCCCCCTCACTCTGTCAAATGGGATGATGCAAGAACCCACCTGAACAGGAGGCCCTGAGGGTTAAATGCGTGTGGTGGGCCAGGCCTGAGCTACCACCTGGCATGTGATGAGTGCTTAGCCCCTGCTGGGCACCACGAGGACAGGCTCAGCGGGTCTGCAGGACCCAGTGTTCTGCTGGAGTTAGAACCTTAAGAATAGCCAAGATGTAACAGGATCAAGTAAGAAATGGGCTGTGGAAAGCCTGAGCAAAGCCAGAGTGCTGGGGTGACAAATCTAGTAGCTGTGGAGCCACTTCTGACTCCCAGTGACCCATGGGTGTTGGTAGCATTGAGCTCTGCGGGGTTTTCAGTGATTTATCTGAAACAGATCACCAGGCCTTTGTTCCAGGACACCCCCAGGGGGACTTGAACCACCAACCTGAGCACATTAGTTCTTGATGACTTGCATCTGATGAGGTAGCGGTCATTTAGCCAACGTCTGTAGGGAGCTTGCCATGTGGCAGCCCCTGGCCTTTCCGTCATTGCCCTCGGAATAAGTACCCATGTTTTCCCCTCGATGGTTGAAGAAGTTGAGGCTCAGAGAGGGGCAGAACTTTTTCAGCAGGGAGGGAGTGGGGACGGCAGGGCCCAGCCAAGTCTGTTTACACCAGACAGCACCTCTGAGCTGCCCAGTGCTTCTGCGAGTGAGGACTGGCCTCTCGTGTCCGAGCTGACTGCCTTTCCCCTTCTCTCGGGCTGTTTTCGCTCTTGGAATCCTCGGAGGGCTTTTAAGGGGCAAGTCTTTTGCGTCCTGTCAGCAGTCCAGGGCGAGCTGGCCCCAGGGGCAGTTCTGTGCAGGTGATCATTTTGATGGCTTCCAGCCTGAGCCGCCTCCTGTCCGCCCTCCTCTTCTCCCCTGTGCACCACACAGGCCACGGCCAGGCCTTGTGGCCCATACCGCTCGTGTTTTCCCAGGAAGGCGAGAATAACGACAAGTTCTTCACCCACCCCAAGAATGCCAAAGCGCTGGCGGCCTACCTCTTTGCACACAACCACCTCTTCTACCTGATGGAGCTGTCAACAGCCCTGCTCCTGCTGATGCTGTCCCTGTGTGAGGCCCCCGCCGTCCCTGCGCTCCGCCTGGGCATTTACGTGAGTGCCCGGGGCCCCTGCAGGCAAGCAGCAGGAACTGATTTGGGCTCCTCAAGACTGGAAGGGCAGCCCTGCAGATAGACTTAAAACAGAGGTGCTGGGTGGTAGGAGCAGCAATGGCCTGACTGGCTCACCTGGGGGCCCCCCAACAGTGAATGCACCCCACCCAGCCTATCTGTGGCTCTGCTCACTGTTCCAGTCCAGGGAGGGGCGGCATCCTGTTGGCCTCGCTTAAGATCAGTGCTCACACCGGGACCAGGTTTGCTGATCTGATACAGGCTGGTGGAACCACTGAGACTATGGCCCGTAGCTGCCCTTCAGGTCTGGAATTGAACTCACACCTGTGGTTTCCAGCCAAGCAAAAGACAGGCATAGGAGTTGAACATGTACCTGAGGTACATCCCTTGGAGAGAACAGTCATGGGAGAAAGAAGGGCTATTTATGCACAGGGAGACAGCTCAGGGGGCAGGAGTGCATGGAGGGATGGTCACAGGGAAGAGGTGACTGTCGGGAGGAAGTGGGAGGGGAGCTGTTGCATTGGGGTAAATTGTGGTCAATGTCATGAGACAAAGTGTGTGTGAACTGTTGTATGGAAAGTGAATTTGCTCTGTAAATTTTCACCCAAATCACAATGAAAAAAATAAAAAAATTAAATAAAAGACCAGTGCCCACACCGTGGCCATGGTGGGTGGGGCACCCGACTGCCAGTTCCCCCACATTGTCTCCAACCTCAGCGGAAACGGAAGAGGCAGCCGGGCGTGGTCACCAGCAGGGAGGGGGTGTATCCCAGCAGCCACAGCCCCGTGATGTCCTCACATCCAGCCCATCCTCCCGCACGGGCCAGGGCTGTCCGTGGAAACGACCCTCTTCAAGTGTGGGAAGTGGGGGCCCAGGAAGAGTGGAGTTCCTCTGTCTTCTCAGCCTTGTGTTTGTCTTGTTAGGGCTGCCCTCTCCCCTGGGGTGTGAGGCTCATCATGACTAGACTTTCCTTCTTCAGCTTCTTGGCCTGCTTTTCCATCATCAAGCCTGAAATGCTCAGTGCCAGCCATTCTGAATGGACCTGCCCGACCTCCTCTCCACGCCCCCTCACACTGTCCCCTCTGTCGGGAAGCCCTTCCCTGTCTCTTCCCACCAGCTCCTGCTCCTTCCCCACATCTCCAGGAGGCTCCCATCCACAGTCAGATCAGATTGCCCACCTCTGGATGCAGAGGAAGAGGCCTGGTGGCACAGTGGTGTAAGGCATCCAGCTGCTAACCAATAGGTCAGCAGTTCGAACCCACCTGCTGCTCCGTGGGAGAAAGAGGTAGCAATCTGCTCCCATAAAAGATTTGCAGCCTTGGAAGCCCTATGTGGCAGTTCTGCTCTGTCCTGTCAACTCGATGGCAGTGGGTCATGAGGCAGGGACCACGTCAGCTTTGAATTCACTGAAAACCCTTCCTGGGCCCACCTGCTTCGGGGGACAGAGGCCCCACCCCAAGAAGCTGCAGTTGCCTAAAGTGCAAGGGGGCTTGTTTGGGGGCTTCCCATGTGTTCTTGTCCTTTTGCGTCTTGAACAAGTGAAGGCCAATGAGAATTTCTGGGGCCCTGTTTGCTCGACAGCCCCTTTTCTCTTGGGCTCTTGGATTTTCAAGTAAATCCTGGTGTTTCTTCCCCTCAGTTTTGTGTAGGCCCCCAAATCATGTTTCCTTAGTGTATTTTAGGAGCCCTAGTGACACAGTGGTTAAAGCACTTGGCTGCTAACCAAAAGGTCTGAACTGACCAGTGAGAAAGATGAAAACAGTGTGCTTCTGTAAAGATTTACAACCTTGGAAACCCTATGGGGCAACCCTGTCCTACAGGGTCACTGTGAGTCAGAATTTGAGTAGAAGGCAACAGGTTTGGTTAGGGTATTTTATGGATCTTCAGTAAACAATGTGAAATCCTTCCTGGGACAAGGCTGTTGTTGTTATGTGTTGTTGAGTTGGACCAACTCATAGCGACCTCGCCTTGGGTTTCTGAGGCAGTATCACTATGGAGTAGATTACCCAACCTTCCTTCTGAGGAGTGGCTGGTGGGTTTGAACCTCCAGCCTTCTAGTTAGCAGTCAAGTGCCTTAGCTACTACACTACCAGAGCTTCTGGAGCAAGGCTAGATGTAAATTTTTATCTTACCTTTTTATTTTTTCCTTAACTTTTAAAACTTTGGGCTCCTTAATTCTTTTGTGTGTGGATTAGCAGGTCTGTTTTATGCATATCAACATCATGTTTAGAAGTTCTGGGGAAAAACAACATTGCCAAGGCCATGACTCTGGGCACTCAGGGTCGGTTTTGGAATTGGAGTGTTTGTGCGTGTGCGTGTGTGTGACGCACGTGTGCATGCACGTGTGGTACATGCGTGGGTGTCGGGGTGCAGGTGGGGGTTCCGGGGCAGCTTTCCAGATCCTGGGAGAGGGCGTGACTGAGACAGCAGCAGCTGTGGGTAGGGTGACAGTGTTGACCTTCTCCATGCCCCAGGCTAGAGGTGGCTGTGGTGGGGTGACGGTGACCACCCTCTCCACGCCCCTGGCTGTAGGTCCACGCAACCCTGGAGCTGTTTGCCTTGACGGTGGTCGTGTTTGAACTCTGCATGAAGTTGCGGTGGCTGGGCCTTCACACTTTCATCAGGCACAAACGGACCATGGTCAAGGTGATGTGTCCGTCCTTCTGTCCATCTCCTTACAGCATCTGCTCCCCTGTTGCCCTCAAGCCTGGGTCTTGGGTTCAGTTCAGAGCTGCCCGTGGGCCTGATCCTGGCTCAGAAGGTAAAATTGTGTCCCTGTCCTCGTGATGCCCCCAGCCTCACCCAGGGCTCAGACAGCATGGTGACACAGACAGGAGCTAATGCAGTCAGCATCTGGGCCGGGCCGGGCTGATCCTCAGGGAGTTAGATTACTCTCCTGATTTTACATTGAGCCGGACGGAACAGCGTCTGATCCCAGAGTGGGAGTCGGAGCCAGGCTGGTCTGACTCCCATGCCCACGCCAGTCAACACCCGGTGCCGAGCACCTCTCTGTGCTGTAGAGAGTAGCCCGAGTGGGAGTGGGTCAGCAGCACTAGGCCGTGGACAGGAATCGAGGGGAGTTGCAGACATCGGGGGGCAGCTTCCTGGTATGGGTGAGATGAGCTGAGCGGCAATGAGAATGGTCGCATGGAGGCTTCAGCTTCCGACCCTTTTCTCCACAGTCCGAGCTCCTGGGAGCACCCCCTCCAGGCCCACACATCTGGACTCTTCGCCTGGGGTGGTCGTGGGGTATTGGTGGGAGATAGAACAGAGAGATTGAAGCAAGGGTGTGAGCTCTCGAGGCCACAGTAGGCAGGACCTCTGCGGCCCTCGGTTCAGGGTGATCAGGAGGGGTCTGGGTGGGGAACTGACGGCGCTCTGCTGCCCACCCACAGACCTCCGTGCTGGTGGTCCAGTTCATCGAGGCCATTGTGGTGTTGGTACGACAGACGTCCCACGTGCGGGTGACCCGGGCCCTGCGCTGTATTTTCCTGGTGGACTGTCGGTACTGCGGCGGTGTCCGGCGGTAAGGCCAGGGGGAGGCACTATTGTGGCCCGGCCCGAACCTCTGGGCTGGTGCAGCAGGACCCTGTGAGTCAGTCAGCGATAAGCTCAGAACTGCAGCGCATAATGCTCTCTGCAGCGGGACCGTCACTGAGAGGAAGGTGCTGCTGTTCTTTCTGACATTTAGGGTTTCTGAGGTCGGCTCTAGGTTCCTTCTTGTTCAGCCTGCAGCCTTTGAGAGCTGGCTTCTCTCTCTGGAAACATTATCTGTCCAAATACAGCGGCATCCCCTAGAGCAGGAATCTCAGCACAGTCCACGTGATGCCAGCAAGCTTTCTGGTACCTCCTCCTAGGCTCTAGGGCGAACTTCTTAAACCAGATTGTGAGCCTAGAGTGACTTTTTTTTCTTTAAACTCTGTGTGAAAAAGCTTATGGCTGGGGTACTGCTGGTGATAGCCAGCTGGTCCTTTATTCAAGGAGCCCTGGTGGCACAGTGGTTAAGCCCTTGGCTGCTAACAGAAAGGTCGGTGATTTGAACCCACTAGCAGCTCCGTGGGAGAAAGATGAGACAGACGGCTTCCATAAAGATTTACAGCCTTGGAACAGCTATGGGACAGCTCTAGTCTCTGCTGTGAGTCAGAATCGACTTAACAGCAACAGGATCATTGATTCTTTGTGCCTGTCCTCAAAGCCAGAAAGAAGTGTCCCAGAGTTGGGTGGCTTCACCCGTCCGCGGCTCGTGCAGGCCAGGCGTTCGGCTGGCACGGCTTCTTCCCCTCACAGTGCACCCTCGTGCCTGGGCTTTGTGACTCAGAGGAGGTGTCCTGGGCCTGCCCTGTCACCCGCTGAGTGGAGGAGTCTCGAGACACTTTAGGGAAAAGCTAAGGCTGGTGCCACAAGCCACGGTGCGGTGGCATTTAGTGATCCCAGAGGCAGGAGCAGCCCCACGAGGGCCACTGCAGCATGCGCCGTCTGTCCCCCAGGACCCTGCGCCAGATCTTCCAGTCATTGCCGCCCTTCACGGACATCCTGCTGCTGCTGCTCTTCTTCATGGTCATCTTCGCCATCCTCGGTGAGGACACGCCCACTCCGGCATCCGTAGAAATCAGAGAGGCTTTACAGCAATACAGGTCGTCAGCACCCACAGCCCCACCACCCAGCTCTGAAAGTGGACTGTCAGACACGGCACGGAAGCCACCTTTGTGTCTGTCCGTCCACGCTCTCATGCCCTGTCCCCATCACACGTACCCATGTCCTTAGCTTTTTGTTCTTGTCCGTGTCTTTACACTTTTCCTTCATATTGACGTCTGGGAAGCAAGAAATGGCATTGCTTCGCCTATTTAAACATTTAGTATACATTTTGCATAACGTGACTGATCTTCTGCAAACTGCTTCGTTCACTCACTTGATGCATGAGGCTCGTGCATTTTCGCTGGTGTGTGTGGGTCCGCCAATTTATCTGCCCCTCTTTGGTGGGCAGCTCCACTATCCACAGGGCTCTGCAGTGAACCTTCCCGTGTGTTTCATGGGGCCGTGCACAAGTGTGTCTCTCAGACAGGCGTATACCTGGGATAGTGGGGTCTGGCCTCCGCAGATGAGACTGTGGATTTATGCAGCTCCCAGACAGAGACAGGCTCAGATGGTGGCATCCTCTGTACACAGCCGGCAAACCCAGGCCCTTCCCCTAGTACTGCTTGAGTGGCAACAACAATGTAATACAGAGGCCTGACTTGAAGGCCAGTGCTGGGGCTGAAGCCCCCGGGCCCATATACCTGCCCCGTCCCAGCCCAGAAAGCCAGTGGCTCCCACTTGCCCCTGCCCTCCACAGAATTTCACTTGTGCTTCTCTAGCAGGACCAACCAATTTCCCTGATAATAGAGTTTCCCCTTGTCCCACTCAGGATTCCAAGGATTTGGAAGGGAGGAGAGGCACAGTGTTCCCATCCCAGGAATCTTGGCTGCAGGGGAACAACAAGATCCCTTTGGAATTGTTACTTGGCTATCATAGTCTCACAACCAAAGATCCCAAACCAGCAGTGCAGATTCCAAAGCCAGCCCACACATGTGTTTTGTTTGGTCTGAAGAATTTGAGCCAGCATTAAAATTGCATGAAGATGTAGATTTCCAACCTTTTTCAATAACAGGCTTGCCAACACTCAGGCCATATTCCTGCATGGCACCACTCATCTGATGCCACATGGCACCTGGTCCCTGTAGACAGAGCGCGTGTTCTCCTGTGTGCCGCAGTCCCCACTACTCCCTATTGCCCTCCCTTAGCCCACTGCACTCATTTGCATTTGTTTGTCCAGTCCTTTCAACATCTGGGTTTGTGATCTCTGCTCTAACCTTTTCTGTCCTTTTTCCTCCACATTTTAGGTTTCTACTTGTTCTCCCCTAATCCTTCAGACCCGGTAAGTAGTCATCGTGTTTGTCTGCCTCTTATTTTCATGTGAGGCCTTTTCCCTCAGATCTCACTGGAAAGGGATGCCCTGCCTGGCTTCTCGTAGCCTGTGCAAGGTCCCCCTCACCCAGACTTGAGCTGGTGCCTTCCCTGAGAGCGGAGGCAACCTCCTTTCTTATCCTGGAGAGGGCTATTTCCAGGGTTGGGCTTGGAGCAATTTGATGGCAGAACAATAGAAAAGAACCAAGTGAATTGCCCAGGTGCAGTGCTCTGGGACAAAAGCCCCACGGCCAGTCATCTGCTTCTGCCAAGACCATCGCCTTCAGGAAGGCAGAGCCCCACGGCCTTCCCGTCGGCTCATTCCTCTGCTGTCCCCTGGGTTCCTTGGGAGGAGACGGGCTGGGTGACGCTGAAGTGAGCAGAGAGGGAAGGGCACCCAGGTGACCATTGCAGCCTGTTCCTGGCTGCGGTGTGTTCTCAGCCGGGCCCATGTGTTTCCCTGACTCCTTTTCCCTTCTAGTACTTCAACACCCTGGAGAACAGCATCGTTAGTCTGTTTGTCCTTCTGACCACGGCCAAGTAAGTCGGGCTCTGCTTCCGCTCCTGCCCCAGGGCTTTCTCCACCCCTTAGCAAGGAGGTGATGGGGTCTGCTGACGGGGGGTTGACGTGGGGAAAGTCCTTTGGAGGGCGTGTCCCGGGAGAAGTGGAGACAGGCAGACGCAGGGCGCCGTGCTGACGTCTGCGCGGACAGTTTCCCAGACGTGATGATGCCCTCGTACTCCCGGAGCCCCTGGTCCTGCGTCTTCTTCATCGTGTACCTGTCCATCGAGCTGTACTTCATCATGAACCTGGTGAGTGGGCGGCCCGTCCCAGCCCATGTGGCGCTGGGCCCCGTGGGAGTGCACAGGTGGGACGGCCACAGGCTCCAGGGGCAGAAGGGTGGGGACGGAAGTCTGAGACAGGTAGTGAAGTGGGTGTGGAGAACAGCGAGGCGGGTCGTGAGCACCCGCGGGGTGAGCCTCACGGGTCAGCTCCGCTGCTGATGGCTGGCCTCAGCTGCCGGCGAGTCGACCGTGACTCACGGCGACTCCATGTGTGCAGAGTAGAACTGTGCTCAGTGGGTTTTCAAGGCCAGGACCTTTCAGGAGGGGCTCACCAGGCCTGTCTTCTAGGAGCCTCTGAGTGGGCTGGAAGGGCTCTCGAACTGTTTGATTAGTGTCCAGCGCTTAACCACTGGCACCACCCAGGACTCGGCCTCAACCGTATGCCTTTAAATTAAATCAGGTGGGACTTCAGCTGTCTGTCTGACAAAATTCAGTAGCACAGGCCACATGCTCCATTTCTTAAACTCAGCATCCTTATTTTCTTTTCCCCTTAAATGCAAAATACGCAGCCACTGCCATGGAGTCGGATCCGACTCATAGCAACCCCTCCTTGGGTTTCTGAGGCGGTATTTCTACGGAAGTAGATTGCCCAGCCTTCCTTCCAAGGAGTGGCTGGTGGGTTTGAACTGCCAGCCTTCTGGTTAGCAGTCAGGTGCCTTAGGCACTACGCCACCAGAGCTTCTTTTTCCCCTTAAGAGGACGTAAAGGAGCCCTCGTGGTACAGTGGTTAAGCCCTTAGCTGCTAACTGAAAGGTCAGCGGTTTGAACCCCCAGCTGCTCTGCAGGAGAAAGATGTGGCAGTCTGCTTCTATAAAGGTTTACAGCCTTGGAAGCTCTGTGGGGCAGTTCTATTCTATCATATAGGGTTGCTATGAGTTAGAATTGACTTGAAGGTGGTGGGTTAATAGAACATAACCAAACCCAAAGTAGACCCATTGCCATTGAGGGAATTCTGACTCACAGAGACCCCGCCTGTGCAGAGCGGAAGTGCTGCCTTAGGTTTTGAAGGCTGTGACCTTTCAGAAGCAGATCCCCTGGCCTGGGTGGCACAAACGGTTGGCACTGCACTGCTAACCGAAGAGTGAGTAGTTCAGACCCATCCAGAGGCACCTCGGAAGATAGGCTGCTAATGACCGAGATATATTTTAAGTCAAACATACCAGGACATGTTCATTCTTTTTTTGGGGGGTGAAAGTGTAAAGAGCAAATTCACTTTCCATATAGCAGCTCACATACACTGTCTCATGACATTGACTACAATTTCCCACAAAGCAACAGCTCCCCTCCCACTTCTCCTGATAGTTCCCTCTTCCCTGTGTCATCCCTCCATGCCTTCCTGCCCCCTGAGCTGTCTCCCTGTGCATACACAGCCCTTCTATTCTCCCATGATTGTTCTCTCCAAGGAGTCTGTCTACCTTAGGTAAATGTTCAACTCATATGCCTGTCTTTTGTTTGGCTGGAAGCCACAGATGTAGGTTCAGTTCCAGACCTGAAGGGCAGCTAGGAGCCATAGTCTCAGTGGTTCCACCAGCCTCTATTGCACCAGCAAACCTGGTCCCCCCTTGACATGTTCATTCTTGAGGCAAACATGTAGTATAATAACTATAAAAGCTGGCATTTCCTAAACCTTAGCCAGGCACTGTGCAGGGACCTTTGTGTACAATGATTATTAAATGGTTTGACACAACAACCCTGGAGGTATTATGATTCTCTGTTTAGAGCTGAGGAAACCGAGGTTCAGGCTGGTAGCATGCCCTACCCCAGGCCACACAGCTGGGAAGTAGTGGCAGGGCCAGGACAGTCTGATTCCAGAGCCGGGCTCTCCATCCCTCTGCTCCCTGCTGCACGCCTCTGCATAGGGCACCGCGTGTGTTTCCAGCCCACTGATCATGAACCATCAGAAAAACCAACACAGGACATGTTCAGTGAAGGGAACGTCAGGCCCCTGTGCACACCGAGATCTTGGGAGGTGTCTCTGGAGGCTCGCTAGTCACCAGGAATGTCCCCTGCCATTGCAGCTCACCTTCCAAGACCAGGCCTGCAGGCTGGTGCTGAGACCACTGTTCAGAGCTAGAGTTCTCAGGTGGCGGCTGTGACAAGGCTTAGTTTTCATACATCTGAAGAGCACAGGCCCAGCAGAAGGAATGTAAAAGACCCTCTCAGGGGCAGGCTCTTGAAAATGCCCAAAAGCCCAGTCTTGAAAGGGAAATAGGTGTGTTTGTGTTTGTGTGTGTTGTTTTTTCACTGCCGAGTTGTATTCCATTTGTGGACATACCATAGTTTGCTGACCCATGACATTGGAAAGAGGCATGGAAAATGAATACTCTGCTTACAGGCACCCACATTCACAATTCCTGACAACACTGCCAGCCAAGCAGAAGCCATGAAGCTGCCAACTTCCAAACTTCCTTCCTTCTTCTGTTTTTAAATAATATTTTATTGTGATTTTGGTTTACACAGCAAGTTAGGTTCTCCCCACAAATCGTTCGTGACATTAGTTACATTTTCCCATTTTCCACATGGGTCAGCATTCTCCTTCCTTACGCTCTGGTTGTTCCCTTTCCTGGGCTCTAGTTTCCCTGCCCCTAACTTCTCCTCTTTGCTTTAGAGTCACTGTGGACCTTTGTTCTCACACAGATGGGTGTTTAGCAGAGCATGTTCTTATGGGTAGTCTTTATTTGTGTGCTACACTGCTGTCACACTCAAAGGTGATCTCGGGATGAAAATGTATTTTTTAAGTTCTTCAAAACTTGCTTTGAGTTGGAGAGGATGGGAGGCTGGGAGCAATTTAAAGCAGCTGTGGTCATGAGTCTGAAGACAGACGATGTACCAGTGGCCGTGAATGGCCGTCCTCTATTGAGACTCAGAGCCGGACTTCTGACACCACGAGGCTCTGAGAGAGGGTCTCCTGAAGCCCCCCTCCAGGGTGGCCGCCTGTGAGCCCTACCTGGGGGCAGGAGCCAACTCCCCAACTGCTCCAGGCCCCGCCAGGCAGGGCAGCCAGGTCTCTGCTTTTCCCTCACAGCTCCTGGCCGTGGTATTTGACACCTTCAATGACATCGAGAAGCGCAAGTTCAAGTCTCTGCTGCTGCATAAACGGACTGCCATCCAGCATGCCTACCAGCTGCTCGTCAGCCAGCGGGTAGGGGAGAGTGGGGCCGGGGAGGGGGCTGGGCCAAGCTCTCCCCTCCTTCACCCCAGCTGCCCCTAAGCATGGCGTGACCCGTGGCTCTAGAGACCTGGCGTCAAATCCTTGGGAGAACAAGAGCCAGCTTGCCCACGGGCAGGGGCATCTCAGGCCTGGATTCTCCCGTGTCCCACAGCACCACCTCCCTTTCCCCTCAGAGGCCTGCCGGTATCTCCTACAGGCAGTTTGAGGGCCTGATGCGGTTCTACAAGCCTCGGATGAGTGCTGGGGAACGCTACCTTACTTTCAAGGCTCTGAACCAGAGTAACACGCCTCTGCTCAGGTGAGAGCAGGTGCCAGGTGTGGGGGGGGGGGTGGCACAGCCAGGCCAGGTGCTGATGAGAGGGCAGAGAGACTTGGTAGAGGCCTTTATGCACGTCGACTTTTCACAAGTGACAAAAGTCCAACCCAAATTCAGTTGAAACTGGCCTGACACAAAAAGAATGTGCTGGCTCATAGGATGAAAAATCAGGATAAAGCAGGATGCAGGCACTCAGTGATCTCATCGGGGGTCCGTGTCTTCCTGTGCCGTGGCCCTTCCTGTGTCCCCGAGTCCCCTGTTCTGTCTTCACATCCAGACAGGCCCTCCTCCTTCAGGGAGCTGCTGCAGGCTCACCTCCCACCCTCTGAGCAGCCCCAGCCCACAGGAAGAGATGCTAGCTGGGGAGGCAGGGAGGGTCTCATCCCGGAAGCAGTTACAGGGCCTGGGGAGCAGGGGATGTGCTCGCTGGCCCCACTCCTCACCCGGTAGTCCCTCGTGAGCCTGAGGGATGGAGCAGGGATGCACACACCCACCCACACGTCTGTGGCTGTGTGTGCCTGGTACGGTCTCATGGAACCAACCCCGAGATCTCCGTGGGCAGTGCTGGTCTTCTGCACTGTTGGTGACCATGACCCTGCTGATGCCCATTGCAGCAGAGATGGGAGGGAGCTGGGTTTGGGCTGAACTCAAAGGCCCTGTTTTTCCATCTAAGTCCTCTGCTAAGATGCTGAGTCTCTGTCTATACAAAAGTTAGTCATCCAGGTGCTGCCTCTGGGGGGGGAATTGAAACTGTGAATCTGTATCGACCTAGATTAAATAGGAGGGGTGAGATCAAAATGCCTGCGGCTCAGGAGCCCTGATCCACTTGATGTGCTGGAATGCACAAGAGGTCCTCTCTTCTCCTTCCACCCTCACCCTGTAAAGGCAGCCGTAGACAGGTGGGTGTGGGAACATGCTCATGGCCTTGACTTCTTGTTCTGCTCTGACAGCCTGAAGGACTTCTACGATATCTACGAAGTTGCCGCCCTGAAGTGGAAGGTGAGTGCTCTTGTGAGGCCAGAGAAGGAGAGAGCATGGGCAGAGGGACACACGGTGGGTGATGAGGATGGGAGGACCCTGAGGGCTGGCCCTTTCCTGTTAGAACAGCTCAGCTCTTAGCTCAGCAGCCTGTGCTCCAGGGAGGACAGGCAGCCCCATGCCCGTCCATCTGCAGTGCAGTGTGCTGGTTAGGTGCACAGGTCTCAGGGCGGCCCAGGAGTCCCTGGGTGACGTCAGACGGATCGTGGCTTGGCTCACCTGTGGGATGGGATGATGATCCTATCAACCTCCAGAGTTACTCTGAAGATGACAGGAAAGTGATGCTGGTGCCTGGCAGTCCCTGGCACACCGGTTATCTCCGTCGCTGAGATCCCTGAGTGTTTACATTGTTCCCCAAGTTAGCTGGCGAGTAGGGAAGGAGCCCTGACACCCTGTCCCGTGCTCTGTGTCCTGGCCAGGCAAAGAGCAATCGACAGCACTGGTTTGATGAGCTGCCCAGGACGGCGTTCCTCATCTTCAAAGGTAAGGTTGGCCTGGAAGCAATATGGCACCCTGCTAGGTGGGAGAGGCTACCAAAGACAACAGGTGAGCATTTGAAGAGCAGGTTCAGGGGGGTTCTGTGTGTGTGTGTGTGTGTGTGTGTCCCCACGTGTGTCAAAGACACGGAGCAGGGCAGTAAAGGACTAGGAAGGAAACTGGCACCTTGAAAACCATGCCAAGACATTTTCTGTTTTTTTCTCTTTCTTTATACAATATTTAAGCAACATTCTTTGAAGAAAATTTAGGAAATTAGAGAATTAGAAGATAATGAAAATTTACTATCCAACGATAACTCCTGTTAAATCTCTGATGGGCTTCTTCCTGTTGGTTATTTTCTGTTCATTTTTAAAATAATAGGATCACACCATCAATTATGTAATCTACCTTTTTTATTTCATAATCTTGACCATCCTTATATGGCAGGGTATGTAGCTGGCTTAATGCTTACATAGTATCAAAATAAAGAATTTTTCATTGGGGCGTCCGTATTATTTACCTAATAGGTGTGCCTTAATCTAATACCAGTTCTGAAGCTCCACATGGGAGTATTGTTAGCTCACAGGCAATTTCTTGGGCCAAAAGCTTGAACCTGGGTCTAGGTCATTACGAATAAGAGCAAAGATGGTGAATTCTGTTTCTGTGGTTTGTCCCACCACTTGGCCTTCGGGCACAATGGTTACACCATCTTCTTGAAAGCATTTTCCGTCTACTGAGATGGTGATTACGTGGATAAATAAACAGTCCCAGAATGGGCAAGCAGCCACTGAAGTTACAGCAGTGGTTGCCAAAGCATCATTCTGCCGTCCTGGCTCTGGGCTGGTCCCAGAGCAGCTGTGGTCTGAGCAGAAGGCAGGGGGTGTTGTTCTCAGAGCAGACCCTTCTTTTGTCACCACTGGGCACAGACCCACTGGTAACCCACATGCATGAAGTACGTGGTGGGAGAGTGTGTCCTTTCAGAAGAAAATGTGATTTCACTGTTTTGTCTCTTCCAATAGGAATCAATATCCTTGTGAAGTCCAAGGCCTTCCAGTATTTCATGTGTAAGTGTGCAGTATCACAGCTCTGAGTCTCTGCTGTTCTAGAGGATGGCGAGGCAAGAATGAGGCCAGCTGTCATCTGATTGGCTTTTCACTGTAGAACATTCAAGCATGTGTCCAAGTGGAGGGACTAGAGTAAGCCTTCATGCTTGGCACCCAGCTCCAACGATCATCTCACGGCCAGTGTTGCATCTAGACTCTCCCTCTGGGCCGTTAGCCCCCCTCTAGCCCCAGATCTTTCTGAAGCACATTTCAGCCCATAGGGGGTGATTGGTTGGTATGTCTCTCAATTCTCTTTTAAGTTATAGGTTCCTCTTCCATCCCCCTACGCCTTTGTTTTCCTCATAACATTTAGCGGAAGAAACATGGCTGTTTGTGCTTTAGATTTTATAGTTTGTTTTCCCCATGTTCCTCTGTTGCTTGTTCCCTGTAACTTGGTAGTTCTAGAGAGCCACACAGTCCACTGTGGTAGCTGCCAGCCACATGTGGCGACTTACATGTAAGCTCATTGAAATGAAAACTCCCTAGGCTTACTAGCTGCATTGCAAGGCTCACTAGCTGAAAATGGCTACCAGCTGGACAGCAGAGAGAGAGAGACTTCCATTGTCACAGAAAGTTCTTTGGGATGGCCACTGTTTCCAAGGTGCTCTGGTTCTTTTTGGGAGCCCTGGTGCCATAATGGTTAGGCACTGGACTACTAACCAAAACATTAATAGTTCAAACCTACCAGCCGCTGTGCGGAGGAAAGATGTGGCAATCTGCTTCCGTAAAGATACAGCCTTGGAAACCCTATGGGCCAGTTGTCCTCTGTCCTGTAGTTCGCTTCGAGTCAGAATCGACTCGAGGGTGATGGGTTCTGGTTCCTTGGGTTCCTTGTAGGGGGAAAGGGTGTTTAGAGACCACAGTCTGGGAATTAGGGGTTGGTTATTATTTCTAGGACTTCCGTAGACACAGCTAGGATTTTGTGTTTTTGAAGTTAAAGTATATTATGAGTTCATCCTGATATTTCTATTCAAATTAGATTAACACTCTATCCAGGAGTGTTACCTAACTTCATCAGTCTTTCATGTGTATCTCCTTGCTCCCACATCGAAAACCCAGGTTCCTGACCACACTAACACAAGCACTCGTTTCCTTTATTCCACAGAACGCACACAGTAGTCTCAGAATTTCAATACAACTCCTTAGGCATCATTAGCAGAAAGCTCAATTTTTTTTTTTTTTTTTTTTTAGTTCCTTTTGTAATTTAAAGGAGCTCTAGTGGCATGGTGGGAGCTCTGGTAGCATAGTGCCTAAGGCTCTTGACTGCTAACCAGAAGGCTGGCGGTTCAAACCCACCAGCCTTTCCTCAGAAGGAAGGTTGGGCAACCTACTTTTGTAGAGATACCGCCTCAGAAACCCAAGGAGGGGTCTCTATGAGTTGGGTCCAACTCGATGGCACATAACAACAACAACAGCAGTGGCGTGGTAGGTAAGGCATTTGGCTGCTAACCAGAAGGTCAGCACCAGCTGCTCCATGGAAGGAAGATGAGGCAATCTGCTTCCGTCAAGATTTGCAGCCTTGGAAAGCCAATGGGGATGGCTATGAGTCAGAATCCACTCAATGACAGTGGGTTTATAATTTAGGGCCTAGCATTCCTGGGCTGTACGTTGCCGTCACTGTGTTTTACGGTCCCTGGAATAGTTCCTCGGAATGTGGGCATGTCACCAACTGGACACACATTTAGGTTTCCATTTCATTTTATTTTTTATGGTTAGAGATTGCATTTTACATTTAGTTTTGTTTTACAATTACATACAATACTTTATATGGTTCCAACGTCAACTCTACGGGCATTCAGGTTATTCCCCCATCACCTCCCTCACGAGGGGGACTTTGTTTATGGTTTACCCACCTGCTATTTTCTGTTGGTTTGTTTTAATGTAAGGAGATACATCTACATCCACGTCTCCTGGTCTTAAATGAACAACGGCATACATTCTATGGACGTTTCTGACTTGCTCCTGTCAGTCAGCAGTGTCTTTGAATCGATGCTGATGTTCCCTGCTCCATTTCCTGGTTCTGCTATTTTGTGATGGTTCCATGGCTGAGTCAGCCGGCCCCCTATTGGTCATCATCTGGGTGGTTTCAGGCTTTTGCTGTGACAAATAGTGCTACTGTGGGTGGCTTTGAGTAGACATCTTCCTGTGTTTTTGCTCATGTGTCACAGGAATAGGTCCCTAGAAGTGGCATTGGTCGGTGGAAATTGCCCCTGCTGTCCTGCTCCTTAGTTCATAGAGTGTTTGAAAATCAGAGACACCTCTGGGGAATGCACATGTTTTCAGTACTTGAACCCCTAGTGTATTGTCCATCTTTTACACCAACCCGGAATCATCTGCAGGGTTTACTGGAACACCCTAACAGGAATTTGTAGGCCCAGTGACATTGCAGGCGTTCAGAAACCCATAGTTATTTTCTAAGTGAAACCACTGGTTGATCCAATTCATGCAGCGAAAGCTTTGGTGGAAAGGAATAGCCCATCAGGGTGGGTGTGTGGAGCAGCCCAGGTCTCTGTGTCCCCGGAGCTTCACCAGGCCTGCAGCTGTGGCCGCTAGGTCCCTAAGCCCACTCATCCTTTCTGTCTGCCTGTAGACCTGGTGGTGGCCATCAATGGGATCTGGATCCTGGTGGAAACGTTCATGCTGAAAGGTGAGCCCCAGCTGGGACTGGCCATGTCCAGCTAGCCCACCAGGCTGTTCCGTGAGCTGTGCTTCTCTGTCCCACAGATGGGAACTTCTTCTCTAAGCATGTGCCCTGGAGTTACCTCGTCTTCCTTACGAGTAAGTCTTGACACAGGATAGGAGAACTTGCATTGGGTTTAGACGCTCATGGCTCTTCTCCAAAACAGGGATCCCTACGAAGAGTGGAGCAGAAATGTCCTCTGATCCCATCCTGGTCCTGTTTAGAACCCTTGAGTGGTGCCCCATGCCCTGCAGCTCCAGTCCTGATCCTAGGTGTGACTGCTCACTGAACGTGGCCCTCCAGCTCACCCCCTCAGCCTCCCCTCTTCCCAGTACCGCTGCCCTCACTCCATTCTCTAGCCTCCCGGAACAGCATCCCGTTCCCAGGTGCCCCACGCCCTCTCTTATCTCTGGGCCTTTGCATATGCCGTTTCCTCTGCCCGGCACACTCTTCCCTTTGCCACCCCTCTCTGCCTGAGTTTAAATCTAAACATCCCTGAACACACTGTATAGTCATCACCTGCCTACCTGCCTTCCCTCCCGCCAGGCCATGCATTCTGTGGGAACAGGCACCGTACTGTGTGCTCACGCCGTGCCCCAGCACCCAGCACAATGCCTGCACAGGACAGGGACTTGGGAAATGTTTGTTGGATGGACAGATGGATGGCTGGGCCATTCCCATAGAGGAGAAGGGAGTGTTTCTCTTCTTACCCACCTTGCCCCCAGCTAACCCACACCGTGTTGTCCAGTGAGGCATGAGCATGAGTGGGTGCAGTGGGGAGCCCATATGTATGCAGGGGCCACTGCAGACCTGGAGAGGCCGCAGGAGAAACCTGGCGGTAGGGAGAGGGTGTGGTAGGTGCTACCGCTGACTGTCTCCTCCTGTTCACAGTTTATGGGGTGGAGCTGTTCCTGAAGGTTGCTGGCTTGGGCCCGGTTGAGTATCTGTCCTCGGGATGGAACCTGTGAGTGCACCGTATGCTGCTTGGCCGGGTCAGGATGAACGGTGGCCATAATGCCATCCCTGTACATACCCTAGTGTCTCTGTGTGAGGTCCAGGAACACTTAGGCCCAGTGTCTTGGGCCCACTGTGCTGTTCCCGCTTGGAGGTTCCTCAGGCTGGCTGGCTCTTTAGGAACCCTTTGGCCCCCTCCACCCGCCC